GTCAACAGAACAGAATTGTGATTTGTTACTTTTCTTTTTGTGTTCTTATAAACATTTATAAGAATATTTCCAGGGTTATCCCGACTGATTTTCCAGTGTGGGGAGAGAGTGGAGGTCCATTCCCTTGTGGCCGCTCTTAACATGTTCTCACGGTTTGGCGAGTTATCCTGGTACATTCGTTCACCCGCCAAGACAACCCTCACCAGCTGTGGAGGCCAAGATCCCGCTCCGCAAGGCTTGCCAGCAGCTCGGCCATGCCCTTACTATGACGCGTAGCCACAGGTTCTTCCGCCCTCACCCAAGATGGCTGTTAGCTGGCTGCTGATAATAGGCGCGTTCTCAGAGAAACTAGTGCGAAGGCTCGCTGGGGGTGGGCCCGAGGGCGGTGCCTAGTGCTGATTGGTCTGCGCAGCCCGCCAGGCACCGCGGTGGTCCACAGTCGGGTCTAGCGGCCTGGGCGGAGATGTGAGGGCCTTGGGGCAGAGGTAGATAGAGTCTCCAGGCAGTAGAGACTGCGGCGGGAGCGGCACAGACGGGCGTGCTGGAGAGGCCAGCTGGCGCCCTCGGCGGCCGGCTGCGGGATGAGGAAGCGGAACGAGCTTGTCACCTTGGAGCATGAGCGCTGCGTCGCCTCCGGCTCGACCTCCTCAGGCACGGCCGCCGCGGCGCTGGACGCCGACTGCAGTCTGAAGCAGAACCTGCGTCTTCCTGGCAAGGGGTCGGCCGAGTCGCGCTGCGCGGCCGACGCGGGCATGAAACGAGCTCTGGGCAGGTGAGGCGCCGAGTAGTGGGCGGGGCGGGCGGAGCCCCTCACCTAGATGACACGTAGCTACAGAGCCCCCATCCCCTCCTCAAGTTACCTGCCTGCAGGAGCGCCCCCCACCTTTGTTCACCCCGTCTATTCCGCCGGTGTTCTGGACCCCTTATTTACCTGGCTGGCCGATGTGGCACGCCGGCCACCCTTAAAGCCCCCATTCCCTCCGGAGTTACCTGCCTGGAGGTGCGCACCCCATCCGTCTCTCAGACCTGGACCCGAGTTGTCTTCTGACGCTTCGCGGCCCATCACGGGCACTGCCAAATGAGCTGCACACCCCTATCCTTTCTCAGGTGAGCCCGTTGAGGGGACCTCTTGGGCGGCGAGGTTCAAAATTCAATTCATTGACATGGAATCCATTCCAACTAATAGTGAACCCCATAGGGTTTACTTCCGCGGAGCGGATGGTGAGTTCGAACCAGAGATCTGTTGAATAGTAGCCAGATAACCAGTACACCACCAGAGCTCCGTGTTGTTGTTGTTGTTATGTGTCGTCCAGTCAGCCCCGACTCCTAGCGACCCCTCCTTAGGTTTCCGAGGTGGTATCACTACGGAAGTAGATTGCCCAACCTTCCTTCTGTAGTTGGTGGGTTTGAACCACCGGCCTTCTGGTTAGCAGTCAAGTACCTTAGGCACTTTGCTACCAGAGCTCCCCCAGAGCTCCGTAGAAGGTTGAAAACAAAAACTAAAACTCACTGCCTTCAAGTGGGATCCGGCTCATAGCGACCTCTCCTTGGGTTTCTGAGGTGGTATCACTACGGAAGTAGATTGCTCAATCTTCTTTCCGAGGAGTTGGTTGGTGGGTTTGAATTGCCAGCCTTCTGGTTAGCAGTCAAACGCCTTGTGGAAGAAAATGAGGGGGTGGGTCAGGAAAATCGCTGGGGGAGGTCCCTGGACACTGGGCAGGTAAGAGGTAAGACATGGAGCAAAGAGAGGTAGGGTGTATATGACTCTTCTCTGCTTCGGACCCAAACCCAATCGCGGGAGGGAGCGCCCTTCTAACTGGAATGGAGTGTTCAGAAGCTTCCCTGCAACTTGTGTCTAACTTTCATGATGCTTAGATCTCTGGCAGCTAGTTGTCCTAAGTGACATTCGTTGCTGTTGGAAAGGCTAGACTTTTGGGGAAGGGTTAAATGGGCTATGGTACCAAAGAAAAAGGAAGGATGGAAGGCATTTTCAGCTACTGGAGAGAAACCTGTTGTGTGATGTTCAGATGTTTGGTGGCTCATGACATCAGACCCAAGGAGTTAATCCATGAGAGAATCACCATAGAGTTCTGAAGTCATTCAGCTATTTGCGTTCTCCTGTTGGGCAGGAGATAAATGTGTTTATGTAAAGCTGACTTCAAAATAGGAGCCCTGGTGGCACAGTGGTTAAAATGCCCGGCTGAGAACCCAAAGTTTAGCGGGTTGGACCCACTAGTGGTTACGCGGGACAAAGATGTGGCAGCCTGGTTCCATGTGGCAGTCTGCTTCAGTAAAGGTTGTTGTTGTTATGTGCCGTCCCGTTGGGCCCCGACTCATAGCGACCCCCTTGGGTTTCCGAGGCAGTATCACTATGGAAGTAGATTGCCCAGTCTTCCTTCTGAGGAGTGGCTGGTTAGCAGTCAAGTGCCTTAGGCACTACGCTACCAGTCTTGGAAACCCTTCAGGACATTTCTACTATGTCTAGAGAGTCATGAATCAGAATTGCCTTGAGGCAATTGGTCTGGACTTCAAAATTGAGATATGAGCATATTTCACAGGAACAAATTCCTCATTTAATTATCTGGCTATTTGTAGAACAAATATTCATTCCAAATTTTTTTAAGACATTGTGTTGAGGTTTAGGTTAAAGTTTACAAAGCAAATTAGTTTCCCATTCAACAGTTTATACATAGATTGTTTCATGACATTGGTTACAAATCCCCTCAGTGTGTCAGCACTCTCCCCACTTCCACATTGGATTTCCATTTCCTGACCTTTCCTGCCTTCTGGACTTTGCTTTTGGAGAAATGCTGCCTTTTTGATCTCGGTATTGTTGAGTGTTCTGAGGAGCCATTCCTCACTGATATTAAGATAATCTTCAGGAATGGGTTCATTTCTCAGTTTGAAATGGAGATTCCACTAGTGTCTATCAGACTGGTCTTTTTCATGAATTTGAATTTTGTTTTACTTGTTTCTCCACTTAGTACAGGACCTTCTATTGTTCAATCAGAGAGGTTGGTAGTGGTAGCCAGGCACTATCTATTTCTTCTGGTCTCAGGCTAGTGAAGGTTGTGGTTCATGTGATCTGTTAGTCCTTTGGGGTAATTGTTTCTTTGAGTGTTTGAAATTTTTCACTCTTTGCTCTGGATGAGAACAGGCCAGTCTTAGATGACCACTCAGAAGCTGTTAAGGCCCAAGTTGCTACTCATCAAAGTAGAATATAGAACATTGTGTTTTTGGATATGTTATGCCAGTTGATGTAGATGTCTCCCAAGACTATGTTGCCTAGCCCTCAAGCCCAGTAACTCAGTCCCATGAGGTGGTTGGATATGGCTAAATTTCCATGACTCTGCCCCTGTGTGTTTTATTATACACATGGATATATTTGCAGCACATATAAATATGCTTGTAGAAATATCCACGGTCATGGCAATTTTGGAGTCTTGATGTTTCTTGGTGTAGTTTGAAGAAGTTAGTATATAATGTTAATAGGTCTTGTAGCAAAGTCACTACTCTTGGGGTATTGCCTTAATTGACACTGGCCACTTCAATATAAAATATTTGTACAGATAGCCCCTAAAGAAGAACAAAATTTCAACTGCATTGTTTAAAAGATCATGAAATGAGGGTATTAAAAAAAAATACTCAATGCAGTCGAGTGGGATCTTACTCATAGCGATCCCTCCTTGGGTTTCCAAGGCAGTATCACTACGGACGTAGATTGCTCTATCTTCCTTCCGAGGAGTGGCTGGTGGGTTTGAACGACCAGCCTTCTGATTAGCAGTCAAATGCCTTAAGCACTACACCACCAGAGCACCTTGTTGTTGTTGTTATGTGTCGTCAAGTCAGACCCGACTCATAGTGACCCCTCCTTGGATTTCCGAGGCAGTATCACTATGGAAGTAGATTGCCCAACCTTCCTTTCAAGGAGTGGCTGGTCTAGAGCACCTTGTTGTTGTTGTTGTTGTTGTTATTTGCTGTCGAGTCGGCCCCGACTCATAGCGACCCCTCCTTGGGTTTCCGAGGCAGTATCACTACGGACGTAGATTGCTCTATCTTCCTTCCGAGGAGTGGCTGGTGGGTTTGAACGACCAGCCTTCTGATTAGCAGTCAAATGCCTTAAGCACTACACCACCAGAGCACCTTGTTGTTGTTGTTGTTGTTGTTGTTGTTGTTATGTGCCGTCAAGTCAGACCCGACTCATAGTGACCCCTCCTTGGGTTTCCGAGGCAGTATCACTATGGAAGTAGGATTGCCCAACCTTCCTTCCAAGGAGTGGCTGGTGGGTTTGAACCGCCAGCCGTCTGGTTAGCAGGCAAGTGTCTTAGCCACTATGCTACCAGAGCTCCCAATAGAATCCTTTAAATCAATGGTGCTCAATTCTGCCAAAAGGGGAGGGACTTCTTGTGTGTGTGTGTGTATAAAATGATCTAACAACTGGTCAATATTTTTAATAAAATTGTTTTTTCTTCCCTGTGTAAATATTTATCTGCATTAAAAACTTAAGATTTAGCTTTAATGCACTTTGATTAACAGGTTTGGCATAACACTTAGATAAAATGAGAACTCCATCTTTTGAAGAAACAAATTGTTAAGCATAGAAAGGTTTTGGGAAACAATGCTGAACTGGCATCTTCCTGAAAAAATGAATTATGTTAAAAACATCTGATAAATGTTTATTTTTATGTGAGGAGCTAAAGAGACATTTTAGGGAGGAAAGGCCAAATTTGTTCATTACTCCTGACCATTGAGTCAATTCTAACTCATAACCTCATTGGGCTTCCAAGGCTGTAAATCTTTATGGAAGTAGACTGCCTCATCTTTCTTTTGCAGAGCAGTGGATGGGTTCAAACTGCTGACCTGGCCAATGCCTTAATTGCTATACCACCAGAGCTCCTTTTACTATATTAAAAACATCTGATTAATGTTTATTTTTTTTTGTGAGAAGGCAGAAACATTTTAGTGGTGCTTATATCTGTTGGGTGCATAAAAGGCTGTTAGGGGAATGAAAAGAAAAGCAGGGAGAAAAGGCCAAATTTGTTTGTTACTCCTGGCGTTCTTCCCTATTGCCTGGAACACTCCAACATTCTCCCCAACATTCTCATGCTCTGTCTTCATTCAAGTCTCTGCTCAACTGTTACCTTAGAGAAGTTTTCTGGGACCAGCCCTTCCAAAATAGCCTTCTTCTCACTGTCAACCTCCCTATTCTGTTTACTTTTTTCTTCATTGTACTTACCACTTACCTGATAATATAATTACATGTGTACTTGTTGACCTGTTTTATTGACCATCTCCTCCTGAACTAGAGTGGAAGCTCCATAAGAATAGGAATAGTGTTTTCTTAACCATTGTATCTTAATACCTTTGTGAGTGAATGAATATCTGTAGCAATTCTAAAAGTGGGATTGCTAGACCAAAGAATGTATGTGTTACAACTTTGAAAAATAAAGCCAAATTACCCTCAAAAGAAGAAGTACCGATTTGTACTCCTGCCAACAGTGTAAGGTGTCTCTACACACACACACACACACACACACACACGTATTCTCACCACACATCACCAGATACTTTGGTCTTTCTGTATCTGATTGTTGAAAAATGGCATCTGGTTTTAGCTGTAATTTACATTTCTTACTTCTTGTTGTTGTTGTTAGGGACCTAATAGGACAGAGTAGAACTGCCCGTAAGGTTTCCTAGGCTGCAATTTTTGTGGGATTAGATCACTAGATCTTTTCTCTCTCAGAGCTGCTGGTGGGTTTGAACCACCAATCT